ATAAAACCATTGAAACACCATGACGGAGTTATAAAACCATTGAAACATCGTGGTGGAGTTAGATGTCCATTGAAACATCGTGGTGGAGTTAGAAGATCCTTAAAGCATTTTGATGTGTCACTGACCAGATGTTTCATCTCCAGGAGTCACTGTGTGAGTTGCATCATTTTGTGTAAAGTGGCAGAAGCTTGTGTTTGTCTGGGGGGGATTGTGTTCGTCTCTTTTTAGAATTAATAAAAAAAAAATGCTTGGATTCCCAAAATGTTCCTGTCAGACTTTCAGGTTGTTTTTTTTTTTTTTGTGGCAACTTTTAAATATTTAATTAACGTGTTTATTCATCCAGAGTGACTCTACAAAGATTTGTAGAAAGATAAGAAGTTCAATCAACAGCCTAGCCAGAGGTCAGAGAAAAAGACGGGGGCAGCTGATTGGGGCACGTGGGAGTAGAAAACGTGTTCAGTCAGAGTTTTAATTGCAAATCACCATCTGTGCACGGTTGAAAATAAAAAAAGTCACTGAGAGATGAGAACAAGTTAAGAATTACGAGTTGTAACGGTGAAGCAGAACCGTCTGATCCATACAGAGAACAAATCCCTACCAGGTCTCATCGAAGACCCCCCCACCCCCCAGCAGGATGTTGAAGATACAAAGGACGAGTGATTCCAGCTCAACCACATTAATGCTTCTCCGTACTTCATGTACGCTGATGAGGTGAACCAGGAGTCAAGTAGGCTGGGAGGGGTGATTACTAAGTGGAAGCACCTGGACTGATGAGCGGATGGAGTGCAGGTGTGCGAGGGGGATCTGACATCTGGAATGAGTGACGGAGAGCAGCGGTAGCTGACAAAGGGATGGAAACATGCTGAACACAAGGATTTAAAAACCTCAATCTAGAAAACCAACACCAGGATCACTGAACTTAGTTTCAAATTCCGTTAGCATTCTGGGATTAAATGTTTATCTAAAGGTCTTATTTGTAACCACCTTAAGATGTTCTGAAGGCTGAAAATCACTTTTCGATGGTTGAACATCGACTTGGTTGTTTTGAGGCCACTTTCCTCGGTCTGCAGGCATGACTCGGGCTTGAACACATCGTTTGGATTTGATGGGCCGTAAATGTCGTTTGTACATTAATTTTGTGAAAAGTGTTTCCCTTTTCCCACCATGAGCACCAGACGTGTCTGCCTCCTTATTGCAGCAAATCTGACGGTTGCAGGTATTCATCACTTCCCAATTTAGTTCCACTGTTGCCACTAATGATGTGGAGCTTTGTGGTCCAGCAGTGGTTGTTGGGTAACCAGGTGATAATTGCAGAGATGGAAGGTTGCAGCAAAACAATCCCAACGGTGTCATGAACACATACCATAATATACTTATACCAGGTCCACAGAAACACACTTTCCACTTGAATCAATTACTGGAAATGAAATCAGCAAATCTTCCTCTTCGTTGTGCTGGATTTTAATCACACGTCTGTAGAACAAGATGAGGTCAAGATATAAATTCAATTTTCACCTGAAGATTTCCTCTTAACGTTATCTCATTATTCCTCTGCATATTTTTACATATTAAAACAGAAAAGTTGCTTTTCACAGCGTAGGGCAGTAATTATTTCAAAATCTCCAGCATAATGATGTTTTATTAGATTCTAAGGGGCGACTGCTGCAGGTCATAAAAAGGTGCGAGGACTGTTTCCATCTCCCTCAGGCTAAATGAGGATCAAGTGTTTCCTCTCAGGATTGAAACAGATTATTAGGTGTGTGAGTGCCATGGTCCTGACCCGGTTCTGTGTTTCAGGCTGGGATGATCCGAACCAACTCGGATGAGTACTTCATCGAACCGCTGGAGAAAGGCACCCAGGAGCTGGAGGAGCAGGGCAGGGTCCACGTGGTGTACCGCAGGTCAGCTGTGCTGCAGACCCTCACCGACTCCTCTGTGGACTACCAGCGCCAAGGTAGGCTGGGTAATCTGAGCCTGTGTAATCTGAGATTGAGTAATGTGAGGCTGTGTAATCTGAGCCTGTGTAATCTGAGACATGGTAATCTGAAACTGTAATCTGAGGCTGGCTAATTTGAGGCTGTGTAATCTGAGACATGGTAATCTCATTCTGGATAATCTGAGGCTGGGAAATCTGAAGATGGGTAATCTGAAGTTGGGTAATTTGAAGCTGGGTAATCTGAGACATGGTAATCTGAGACATTGTAATTTGAGGCTGGGTAATCTGAGACATGGCAATCTGATACTGGGTAATCTGAGGTTTGGTAATCTGATAATGGGCAATCTGAGGCTGGGCAATCTGAGGTTGGGTAATCTGAGACATGGTAATCTGAGAGTATGTAATTTGAGACTTTGTAATCTGAGGCT